TGTTGGGTGTCAGTGGCAATTCAAAATTCTCCGCGAACCCAAGCTCTAATGAACGAGCTAACGAAGAAAGTGAGCTAAATTTCAATTCGTCGAAGTTCTCTATATAGAGTTATCTATATCTATAAATATTCAGGCCCCAAGAAAAAGCGATCAATTTTGTCTTTTAATCGAAGGCGAACCAGCGAAGTACGCCTGGGATCAGACGGAAAATTAGTCACGAATGGGTAAGTAAAATAAGTTATGTGGGTAACGATAGTAGTCAAAGATGACTAAGTTAGGCGCCGATGACGCTGGTATCTTGGTGGGATGTCTAAAACATACGTGTATGACATGTAGTGAATATTTTTTGGACCTTCCGTTTGAGGAGTTCTGCTCCAAGTACGCTGACGTTTGAGAACTGTCTCCATTCCCTGATTGTCTTGTTGTGTCTAAAGTGAAAATTGTGATGAAACTCTAGTCCAGTAGAAGTTATTATTAGGTGATTGCCACACTTGACTTGTGTAAAAGGGCGCAGTACATAGATTCGGGAGAGATGAGATAAAGCACTAGTCTGTCTAAAATGCTTTTAGGTCCCCCTTTGGCAACTCATTGTAGCATGTTTTATGTCTCCCTCTAAGCCTACCTCATTTATAAGATTTTTTTTGTGGTTTACAGACTTCCTGTGAAAAAAGAGAAAATTAATCGGATTCGTCTTCGTGTACGCTATCGAGCTGGTCAAAAGAATGATTATAATTCGAATAATTTCGGTATTTTTGATTTAGACTCTACCCGCATCCTTCTTAAGCGGAATTTCCCAAAAAAGACTTTCTTTGCGATCACTCTTGACCTATCTCTTCCTTCTCCTCATTTCCTTCTATTAGTACTAACTCAAAACTTTTTTCGGTTGAATATAATAACGCATGAAAAGAACTTTAAGCTCTATATAGGTTATTTATTTTATTTCACATTCTTTTGAGTCCCGTACACTACGATTTAGTGAAATTATAGTGCTCGAAGTGTGTTGGAATCATGTGATACTTTTTCTTCGATTTCTATTTAAGCCTTGTTTAGGTACGACGACCTTTCCAACTACAAACGACCAAGCTCACCTATTGAAAAGATCAAATCCCTATTCCGCAAAAATGACACATCACATGTGACCTCTCAGCTACCAAGCAACGATTACTATCCAGGACGGTAGGCGCATGCTCATACGCTGTTTTTCACACTAATAACTAAGCTACCGTAGTTCCTACTTCCTTACCTTCTTCTCTTCTTCTTGATAGAATGTATATTTAGTCCTCGTAAACGCTAGTTCTACTCAATTTCAACCTTTTTATTCGAACAAATTCTCTTTTTCTGGCAAGGCCCAAGACTTTCAGCCTACAATAATACTAGAGGGATAAAAGGGTTGGTTTTCTTTCGCTCAATCTAGCGG